TTTAATCTGTTGCCTTTAATTATGTTTATTTTGTTTTGGAATATAATCGCGTTCGATCGATAAAACAGACGATTTTAGGATCGCCTTAATATGTGGAAACTAGTTTTCTTGCCACTACATCCTCTTCATTCAAAAGTATTGTTTGGAAGGAAATTATATTTATTTCTCTATATTTCTACATATTATTAATTTGATGCTATAAATCTGGCTCGTTTTATTTTTAGTTATCCATAACTTATTTCCAGATATATGATTATTAATGAAATAAAAGGAAATCTTTCGATATGTTTCATTAATCGATTCTTTATCGATTGTATTGTTTTATCAAAACATTTCCATTTTTATATATTTTGCAAGAATTTTTATTGTGTATTTACTTGTTTGTCACAATTTGAAACAGTAGTGAACAGGAATATTAAATCAAGTTATAAATGTATACGTGTATCGCATCAGTTAGTAAGTCTATATATACATTTTTGTAATAATGGACATAACAATAATATTTAAATATTTCTTTGAAATCGACTAATTTTGATCAATGCCAAAAATTTTTGCAAAACTATGTATTATATGTTTTTACATTGTGTGCGTTTGTAAAAGAATTTGTTGAATATGAATATGACAGAAAAACGGGTTCCTCTTGTTTAATATTAAATATTCTGCTCATCGCAAGGAATAAAGTCGTGAATTTTTTATTACAAATCTAATATATCTATCCATAGAAATTCGTCGCGCAGCTACATTCTAGATTTTTCAGAAAATTGCGCCACGACAGTTTGGTCGCCTCGAGAATCCGTGCTCGCATCTCAATCTTAACGTTAATGACTCATGACTCTGTAATGTATACGCGCGCTTTTGAGCGCGCCACGCAGTTGAGCATTTGCGAATGTTTGTTTCGACGTAGTGCGCATTACTATTGCGTATGCATATGTATAGTAACGCTTAAACACATAGAAATCTGTTTACACAGGCACACACGCGCGCGTGTATAATCTGCAGTGTGATCGACAGTACTGCGCATGTAACAAACGATAATGATGCTCGATTAGAAATGCGGCATATTGTTAAGTCAATAATTATGAATGTAATTTATATGATTAGTAGCGATCAAATTTTTTCTAATTACAGTTATCGATTGTTTTTACACGGTGACGCAAGACCAATGGATTCACATTCTGCGCAACATTGTTATTCATATATATGTATAGATTGATTTTCTCAATTTTTCATTGCGTATATCGCAACCACCTCATTGCTCATTCCATGAAGTGCGCAAACTTATTAAAAAAAAGAGAAGTCTCAAAAAAGAGAAGTCTTATCAAGATATCTTATAAGATACATAAAAGACGTCTTAAAATTCTTGAACCATCTTATAAAGTTATAAAAAGCATATCTTTAATTAAGATCTTATTATATCCTGATTTATAAATGTTTTTAGGACATCGTTTTAAGATCTCTTTAGGATATTATTTGTTATTAATTTGTTATTCTTATAAAATTAACATTTTGTTTCAAACTATCTAGACTATTAAAAAAAGGAAATTAATGATAACGCGCTTAAAAAAATGCGGAAGAGAAACTATAGTGTTGCTTGTTTAATTGATAAATCGATATATATAAGTAATTTAATATTTACATAACGTACGTGTTATATAACAATTTATTATTACAATAAAAATCAATATATATGTTATTAACAAAATAAGTATTAAATCAAAGGATTCTAGCACGTTGGCCGAATTACGTAGAGTCGCTATTTTATCGACGATTTGTACGTATGTATGCGTGCGATATTGATGTAGTAGTATGTAGTGATGTGTTTATGTCATTACTACATCAATATATCTCACGCATACATACACACAAATTTATCGGTTACCAATATATTTTGTTTAGACTTCTAAACTTAAAGCGGCGTCTACAATGGGCAGTAGCAGTAATGGATTAAAGAGTAAGCGTTAGAAGTAAACTGTAGGATTAAGATGTCGTTACGTCCGAGTGTCTAAAATGATGCATAGTAAAGATTATAGCCTCGACGAATGTCAAAATATAAATGAGGTTCGCACCGATTTGCGTCCATGCTTCTGACTTCACATTTGCATTCGCGTATAATTTTTCGGTTTTGTCGTATAAAAACCAATTAACTCGGACCAATGCAATAAGCTCTCGATCATTGCGGACCTCGAGATCATGATCCGTGCTGACTTCATTTTCAGTACATACAAGAATCCGTCTGACATATTTGACATGTGAAAATAGCATCGATTTCTATTGCGCGCGTTTCGTTACTGCTGAGCTCTCATTGGCTGAGAGTAAAAAAGTAGCCGTAGGAAATGGATTTCAACTATTTCGCTTAAACGGCGTCTACAATGAGCAGTAACAGTAATAGATTAAGGAGTAACACATCGGAGTAAGCTGGTTTTTCGGTGTAATAGGGCGTAGAATAAGTCCATAAAGCGGCGTCTACAATGGGCAGTAGCAGTACACTGTACAGTATAATCAGGTCCACTTCGTGTCGGCGCCTTTGATCTCCTTTTCCAGATCACGTGAGCATCCACCATGTTAAATCCAGGATCGAATTGAGAAAAGTGCCTCACAAGTAATAGATCGGAAGAGCACACGT